AAACAACGTGGGATAAGAGCAAATGGTCATGATCATAAATCACCGAACAAAAATACAGAATCAGTTGAAATTTCGCGAGAGGAATTGTTAAAAGCGGAAAAATAGATGTTCAAATAAGCAAAAAGCCCGAGGTTTTGTGTGAGAAAAAACATGCTTCTGATTCTTCTTTCGTGTCCCCAAGATTCTGTGAATGTTCCGTTTAGCAATCATTGTGAAACATTAACATTCGCTGTGTTTTTCTACTAAACCAACTGTGAAATTGATTTGAATACCATTTTCGTGTATACCACGCGTAGAAATATACACGGAGAAAGTGCATTAACCAGGTCTAGGCGGCCTCTGTTTTTGGAGGATAGATTTTATCCTCTAGAAACAGAGGATGGAGGTGTCGCCACCTACCGGACTTTTCAAAACAAAGGGCAGTCTAAACCAAACAAATAACAGCAACTCTTGCATCTCAAGTCCCAGTTTATGTACCGTACTCTGATTTTTCAACCAAAACAAATAAAAGGTTAAATTTCATACGATGATGGTTAAATATAGGTATTTAAATCATTTTAACAAATTTTGGTAATTTGCTGTCAATAAATTATTCATTTGAAAGCTTTGTTAAAGACCCTTTCCTGTCTGAAAATTAATTATAGCCAACCTCATTTTCCGGTACCATAATTATGTGTTAACAGCATAAAAGTTTTAAAAAACATATTTTTGAAAAATTCAGTTTCATTATTATTTCATTTAATAAGACGGTAGAGGAATTTTTCTTTGAAGTTTGCTCTTCTGCACGGGACTACAGTGGGCGGAGCTACTTTCCGTTCTGTATAAGTCTTCTATACTGTTGTATGTGTATACATCTAATAAAACTGAAATATTAAGACCCCTGAAATAAATTAGGATCAATCTCCATCTACAGCAAGATTAGACCGTCCCCCTTATCAGTTAAGACTGACTTAAATTCAATTGCGTCTACCCGTTGTCAAAACTAATCTGACTGAAACTTACGTTGTCCGTGGAAATATATATACTGCGGATGCATGGTCCCCGTCGAGGCCTCATCTAAGAACTCTAGCGGAAGTTTAGATGCTGCACAGCTAAAAAGTGGGATTTTGTTTCTTATTTTCTCTAAATAATATTTATTTTATCTTTGCTTAAATTATCAGGCAGAGTGTATTTGGTCTTTACAGTACGTTTTCTTTTGTGTTTCCTTTTCCTCTAATCTTTAATTAAAAGAAATATGAAAGTAATGTTATTTATGTATTGTTTGAGCATTTAAGTGCCTTTTTATTTGTCCTGATAGGGAAAAAACATAAAAATTAAACAAAATAACAAGAAATATTAAGTAGAAATGAAGCGCAAGAAGTGCCAACTTTGAAAGCGTATTGTAAAAATTCTAGACATAGAATCTCAAATCGCCACATACAATTGATAGTTTAATGTCTGATCTTTTATTTAATTGTACTCTGGTGCTTGCACTTTTTGATTAAAGGTAGGCATGCGGCGTTTGAAAATTACCTGTGCTATCCTCTGAAATCAGAAGATAAACTATCCGACATTGCATTGCGATTTCCATATATGGTAAAAAATTTGGCTGCCATATTGAATCTAGCTATCCTCCAAAAACGGAGGCCGCCCAGACCTGTTAACGTGACGTCAATATAAGGCTACAGCAACATTAGTAATAGTACAAGTAGAGCTTTTTTAAAAAGCTTCCCGTCTTTAGCAACAATATTAAACTGTAAACTGATCTACACCTATCAGGCCGTATAATTCTTTTGAATTTCTTGATTTTGTATTTCTACATTAGCTTTTTACTGGCATTAGCCCTACCACGGTTGTCGCTCAGTCATCTCCGTAAACTTTGACTCGCCGAGAGCTTTCGGCAAACCTCGGCTGACAATCGCATCATCTCGGGTCTTTCCGTCAGAGGTCGGAAAAACAACCTCGAATGTATTAACATCGCCGGATGTTAAAAATTTATACATCTTCCTGTTTATTCAAATACAGGATAGACGGATTAAGAAGTCCCTTCTATAGTATATATAAGTAAAATCATTATATTTAATAAAGTTAAACTCCATATTCCACTGATTAAAGGTCTCCATGCATTTATTTCAAAGATCGTGAAAAGGGAGGGTTGTCATGGCGTCTACCATATACATTCGAGGTCGTTTTTCCGCTAGTCGGAAAGGCCCGAGAAGTTGCGATTGCCTCGGCTGATTCCATTTCCTTCTTCAAACAAGAAAGGGGAAAAGAATAATAACAAATTGTAAAGCCTGCAAGCAATAAAAATCAAATTTTATTTATAATGAAGTTAAAGAGAATCTTTTTATTTTTTGCTATACAAAAAATCATGTTATTAAGGAATTAATTACTGCTGATTTTGTTGTTCGTTTTGTCATTTTTTTTAGATTGAAAATCTTGCAAAATTATTAAGTCGTACGAAAATTAGATCATCAGAAAGTTATCTCCCTTTCCTTGAACAGCATTTCAACCAATGAAA